AAAACATCAAAATATTTATTAGTAGTTAAGGGTGATTTTCTGTGCATGTAAATGAATATGAATGTGAATATAAAATAAATGTGAGTATAACGGTCAATTAAATTTAAAGCTTATTATTCATTTTAAATCGAGTTTTGAATTGCTCAATGCCAGAGCAAAAGCTCTTGAAAAAAAAAATCATTTAAAAATTATGTTAATTATGAAATATTGATTCCTATTTAAAGTTATATAATATCAAGTATCTAATTAACCACTTGAGATCATATCTCTCTACATATTAGAAAAATAGACCTCGCTACATATACAAAACATTTTCATAAAGATATTTTAACAATGGTACGAACTTAGACACATAAAAAATATTTCTAACACTTTGGATTTAATAAAAATAAAAATAAACGATAAATAAATAAATACCTAAGTGCAAACAAATAGCCTCCCTGTAATTTTGTCGGTTTGGAATGATCTGGAAATGTTATGGAAACGTTACCTCATAATGTTTTAGGACAAAGTAGTTCGACATATGTCTTGAAACTACACCTTGCCGCTGGTCTAGGTAGTTTAGGTCTGGCATACACGAGACGGTGGTCCTGCCACTTTATGGAGTTCAAGAGAAAGTCTCTTCAATTCCTTAGTTCTACTTTTATTTAAGCACGTAGACTGTTTGAGTCATTGAGTTGTAAGTACTACGTACTAGAAGCTATTTCAAACAAAAAAATGTGTCGCAACTAGACGACAGTAAGTAGCCAGCGCGGGGCGGGCCTTGGGCTGACTGATATTTTCGCTGCAGCGCTAAAAATAGTTATATAGTATAACCAAATTATTGAAACATGCAGCGCTAGATCGCTTGACATCATAGAAAGATGTACGAACTGCAATATAGTTCTGTCGAATAGAGTGTTCGGATCGCGAAATCTAGTACGTAAAAGTGACTTAATGATCTACGGAACGAGATGGAGTGTTTTCGCTTATATCATCATCCCGCCGTAGAAATTGTGACTACATTAGCTTATAATTTTAGTTAACTACATGAAGTGTACATGAAAATTGAAATGTATGTGATGTCGTAAGTTTTCTGAAGGGAAAGTATAAATATTGTCGTTTCTTTTAAATAATAGTCAATTTATATTATAAATGAGGCTTGAACAAGTATTAATTTCTTCATTGAGTTTGATGTAGAGAGATATTTTAACTATAAAAAATACAAAATATTAATAATATTTTATCCAGAATTTATAAAATATAAACAAGGCCAATTATGTAAGTATTAGTTATAAAAACACATACAACAATTTAATTGTTTAATACGTAATTGTTGCTATAGTCATTATAAAACGTTCTTTGTAGTAGATTAGTTTTGAAACTCGGTACACTGTAACATTTTTCTAAAACGCAAAAAACAAACAAATAAAAAAATCACACCGATCATTAATATGGATTTCGCAACCACAGAACACATATTTTAAGATGTCGTTAAGTCTCATGTCGTCTCTATCACTTACAGTAAGAATGACTGTGACAGCACGGCACTTAACCAAATCTTAAAATTGAGTAGTGTTAGAGTATTTGGCAACATTAAACTCAAATTATCTTTATACAATATGTAACGTAATTAACGCACACCCTCAGACACCCCAATTAGTATATTATGTGATAATCATAATACATACACTGAATTTTTAGTTAAACATTTTTATGCACTGATTATTTATCAAATTAGTTATGCTAATTCCGGAAGAATGTTGTGGTCACAGTACAAATCCACGAACGCAAAGACTTTAGCGTGCTTAAAATAAAGTTTTTTTCTTTGATTTTCTTGAATGATAGAATTAGTAATAATATAAATAAAACTGCACTCTTAAAAGTCTTATTGCCTTAAGTTACGGTCCATTTCAGTTTGTTTTGACTGTATAGATTTAGTGTGACTGTAATTTACGTAGTTTTAATTATTTTTGGGATAAAAAATTAACTATATTAAAAATGATAGGAATCGATTCAGTAAACGATTCTGAACAAACTACTTTCTCAAAGTGCGTTAATTATGTTACGTGTTGTATATAAAAATCAATTGCTGGACGTTAGTCTCCCCACAGATTAATAAATAGTTTACCAACAGATACATCACTCCCATACAATAGCGAAAATACCTACGCTATAATAGCCTACAAAATCTTAATAATAATATCTGCTGCTCGTAGCGAGAAGAAAATGTACCATAAGTACGCGTACGAAGAGTCGAGATTGTGTTGCCCGCCGTGCGACTCACGTGCAAGCGCGCCATCGGACGAATGCGCTAGGGTTGTACCTATGATGATTATTGTAATAAAACGAATGTTTCAAAATACATAATAAATAATAAAAATATTTTTTAATTGTAAATTAAATATGTTTGATTTTTATAAAATGATTTATACATTTTTTCCTTCTCTGAATTCCTGGTAGTTAAATTTTATCGTTGAAGTTTCCTAAATCGCGTAAATAATTTTAATAAATAATCATGAGGAAAACAGGAGCAAAGTAGAGGAAAATCAACGGTTTGTAAAATTTCCAACACGGTGCTGCCAGGCCAATTCATTATAACGTTGAATAAAACTAAATTTACGGATTCTATCGCGTTTAATTAATTACTTTTACATATTTTTAATTCCCAACGTTTCGGGTGCTTTACAGCAACCATGGTCAGGGGGGGGACTGAGATGTTTGACGTCCCAATGTCATTGTTAGCCCGGCTACCTTCAGTTTTTGAAAATTAATTTTTGGTCCGATTTACGCAAAACGAACTTACAGTATCTTGAAGTCTTGCAGTGGTATGCGTGGGTTTGGGTTTAATTTTGTTAATTATAGGATCCCAAGCAGATGGCAGCACCCAACCATCTTCTCTATTGAAATTACTGCCATCTGCTTGGGATCCTATAATTAACAAAATTAAACCCAAACCCAAGCATACCACTGCAAGACTTCAAGATACAAGATGCAAAAAAAGACAATATTTCATTCGTTTTTTTTACTTTTACACCCATCCACTGAACAATAATAACATATGGTTTTGGCATTTCGACAAGTAAGCTCGGGAAACGTGCGCGGTGCTTGCACTTGCGGCGGCCCTATGTCGGTTGTATCGTGGACGATACAGAGAGCGGTAGGCATATAAAGCGTGGCCTAGAACGAGTGATGGAGGCCTGGTCTCACTAACGGCTCTAACGATTTTGATGAATATTTTTGTGTGCGTTTGAGTGGGTCCTTGGATGGTTTAGACTTAATGAATGAAGGAAAATTCTTATTACAATGTGATTCAACTAAATAATGGTATATATTAATATATAATAATGTAATATAATAATGTAATCCTAAACAGAATACTGAAGCGGTTTAATAACAATATTTTGGGAACGGTTTTTTTAATAAAAGCAACTAACAAATTATCAGTTCACACCGTCATAACAATATAATTTGTATTGTCATTTTAATAGTTCGAGTTAATTTTAATTTGACGTTAATATTCTACCATCAGTTATTGTAGTCTACACGAATAATTAAGAGATTAATTTATTAGAAGAATGGAGGCAATCTATTTAGAACCAGATTCAGTGCTAACCGACTTTATTATATACTATGTATACTGTTCTCTAGAAGTAGCTCTAGGTAAACTGGACAATTGACAATTGAATTTATATAGACGACCTATGACACCTAAGCCAAAAGCTTTAATACTAATCAGCGTCTTATATTTCCTTATTTTATATTATATCACAGTTATAATTTTAAACTATAACTTAATCATGCGTATTATTGTACACATGTGCAAATAAATATGTACAAATAAGATTCATAATTTCGTGATGTTTTATGATTCATAACTTTTCTATATATCTATAACATTTTAACTGAACTAGATTAAAAAAAAGGGAACGAGAATCATTGTTTTACTGTCGACATAGTTATAGGTAGAGCTGTGAAATACATTATAATAGACTTATGAATAAGATTTATAATTTTTAATAGTAGGTTTTTGATGTGTAAACATCTTTCCTTTCGCTTTCTTGTTATGTGGGAGTGATTTCATGAAAATGGGCGGAACTGTGTAACAGGAAGCCGGGTAAGCGCGCGCCATCTGATTTGACCAATAAGCGTGCGCAATGGTAGTTAAGTATGCTGTTATGAAAACTAATTTCAACGTGTAAACTATATATAATATAAACATTTATATAATATAATATAAATGTATATACTACTGAAAATAAGTGTCTGAAACAAGTGCAGATCAATGATAAAAAAATGCAAATAAATATTTCAGTATTTAGCTTTTTATTATTTATTATTTAGCTTTAGGTTAATTTCTGTCGCTTTTCAAAAGATATATTTAATTTTATTTAAAAGCAAATAGCTTTCTTTTAGGATATAATTTTAATGTTGCCTATTACTAAAGTGAGATGTCAGATCGCATCATATACGACCACGCTCGCTCATTTTTTATGTTCATAGATACCTACATATATCAAAAAATAAATTGTTGCAAGCAGTCACAACTCTCAGTACACTCGTATTAGAGGTTAACAATAATGTGCAGAAGGAATTTTTGGCGGATATAACTGGTAGTGCTTTGTCTTAATTTCCAATTGAGTAGTATTAAATATTTTTGGTGGCATTTTGTACAATATAAATCAATAAATTATACAATAAATGTGAGTATCGTGAGTTTACAAAGAATGCGAAATTGGTCCGTAAAATTAAAAAAAAATACTAAAGTATGGTTTTAAAATGCCTTCAAATTTATTTTAGACTTGAATTATAACTAGTAAATTATTAAATAATTGACTACTTGGCATGTACTGAACAAGTCCAATATTAAACAAGGACAGTGTGCTAAACTTTTCAGAAAAAATGTTAATTAATTTGCTCAAATGGTTATATTGTTTTGAACTATAGAAACATAAAAGGGACAATTGGTTTACGTCAGGACGCAGGATAATGTACAATGAAATATCCGTTTCAATAGCGAATTAAACAGCGGTGACCGCAATGTCGCCGGTATCGTTATGGTTTTCCTTGGCGAAGGACAAGAACACCTCTTCAAGCGTGGTCTCCGTGACGGAGTAGTCCTCGACGATCGGATTTAAGTTCTTCAGTGCCTCCAGCTCGGTGAACAGGTCGCTGTAGCGCATCGTCTCGTTTATGTGGTAGTGGAGCATCGTCTGGAAGTTTATTGGAATGTTTGAAATATATTTCATATGTGTTGGTAGCTTAAGGTATCAACATATATATATATATATATATATATATATATATATATATATATATATATATATATATATATATATATATATATAATGACTTGGTCCTTCACTGCTGGCCGTATGAGGACGCTCAAGGTCGCTCAGCGAGCTATGGAAAGGGGTATGCTCGGAGTTTCTCCGCGTGATAGACTAAGAAATGAGGATATCCACATTAAACCAGAGTGACCGACATAGCCCAACGGATTAGTAAGCTGAAGTGGCAATGGGCCGGCCATATAGCTCGAAGAACCGATAACCGATGGGGAAGAAAGGTTCTCGAGTGGCAGCCTCGTACCGGTAGGCGTAGTGTAGGGCGACCCCCCACTAGATGGAGTGACGACCTGGTAAGACATGCAGGAAGTCGATGGATGCTGGTGGCTCAGGATCGTGCTTTGTGGCATTACTTGCCTATGTTCAGCAGTGGACTTATGAAGGGCTGTAATGATGATGATGATGATGATATAATATGTAACAAAAACCCTATGGTTCCGGTTAAGTGTGTTATCACTTTTTTTTCGTTAAAATTAATTTTTTCAAATTTTTTTTTTGAAAAAAAGTTATTTCTATATGCTTGGATATTGATTCTGATAACGCAGTTAACGGGAACCACAGGGTTTTTGTTACACGTTGTATATATATATATATATATATATATATATATATATATATATATATATATGTATATATATTACATACTGATGAAACATAAATAATATATTTTGATCTTATTGACAGAATACAAAAAACTGAACTGGTTATTTGAATAAAAAATCATGAGTGCAATTAGTTTTATTAAAATTTTCGTATTTTTAAAAAATACTATAATATAGGGCTTGAAATAATAGATTTTCTCACAAAAGAAGGGAACTTGAACAAAAAGGAAAATAGCAGGACCAGAGACAGGACGCGAACCACGGAACTACGATATCACGCCCGACCGACATCCCACCTGAGCTATTACGATCGTTAGTGATCTGTCAAAATTTACCTTCTTATATTGTAACAGTTTTTTATTGCCTGAAAACACGGACAAAAGGACATTTTATAAAAATAAATCCTAGCTAGATCGATTTATTGCCCCCGAAACTCCCTGGACACTAAATTTTATGAAAATCGTTGGAGCCGTTTCCGAGATTCCGATTATATAAATTACGTGTCACGTTGTTTGTCCGCGATGGGCTCCTAAACTACTCAACCGATTTTAATCAAATTTGCACTCCGTGTACAGTTTGGTCCAACTTGAGAGATAGGATAGTTTTTTTTGCCCATGAGTGACCCACAATATTTTTTTGCAAATTTTAGGATTTTTAATAGGACACGACAAAGTGTCGTCGAAACAGGCAGAACAACGTCTGCCTGGCAAGCTAATGTATATATGATCTAAAGTTTGAAATTTGGCTACTCTTTGACAAATAAGATTGTCAAAGAGTAGCCAAGCCCTGTAGATTATGCACTTATACAATTTACGACTCTAAAGTTAAGTTTATTTACCGTCTGGAAAAAATAGGGTTTGACAGGTGAACGGCTACTCCGTGCATGTGGCACTGATATTTAAAAATTTTGTTATTTACATAAATATATATAAAAACGCAATTATGAAATGTAAAATACTCAGAAGGGCAAATGCAAAAGTTTGAAGACTTCGACTTTACAGGGTTATTTTTGAAAGAGTATCCCCAAATTTTATATTTTAGCTCAAATAATATGTAAATAATGATATATCGTTATTTCAGATATTTTTTAAATACAAGTAAATAAGGCTTCTATTTTTATTTGAAATTATTTACCAAATTGAATGTAATTTATTGGCAAGAACTACGCGTACGCGCTCTTCTCTGTGAGCGATTCAACTCATAACGTACGCGCTCTACTCTGTGAGCGATTCAACTCATAACGTACGCGCTCTACTCTGTGAGCGATTCAACTCATAACGTACGCGCTCTACTCTGTGAGCGATTCAACTCATAACGTACGCGCTCTACTCTGTGAGCGATTCAACTCATAACGTACGCGCTCTACTCTGTGAGCGATTCAACTCATAACGTACGCGCTCTACTCTGTGAGCGATTCAACTCATATAGTTTTTGCCGACCGAGCGAATCTTACGAATATGTGCGTGCATAGTGAAGTAGTAGGCGTTAGATATTTTTTAAGTTAACTTTTCTTCACCATTCGTCTATATTACTTATTCCGTACCTTTTTAAATTTGGGCGTATAGTGCCATATAACCTTGTATATCTTATTTACTAGGTAATAGAGCTTCTTTTTTTACCTTATAGTCCGTATGGGTTGATATCAGCCTCGTTATTAATATTTACCTTCAATCTATATATATATATATATATATATATATATATATATATATATATATATATATATATATATATATATATATATAGTCCACTAATTGCTGCATTTTGCGTTGAAAGGTAAAAAGAGTAGAGAGTGTCAAAGAGTAGCCAAGCCCTGTAGATTATGCACTTATACAATTTACGACTCTAAAGTTAAGTTTATTTACCGTCTGGAAAAAATAGGGTTTGACAGGTGAACGGCTACTCCGTGCATGTGGCACTGATATTTAAAAATTTTGTTATTTACATAAATATATATAAAAACGCAATTATGAAATGTAAAATACTCAGAAGGGCAAATGCAAAAGTTTGAAGACTTCGACTTTACAGGGTTATTTTTGAAAGAGTATCCCCAAATTTTATATTTAAGCTCAAATAATATGTAAATAATGATATATCGTTATTTCAGATATTTTTTAAATACAAGTAAATAAGGCTTCTATTTTTATTTGAAATTATTTACCAAATTGAATGTAATTTATTGGCAAGAACTACGCGTACGCGCTCTTCTCTGTGAGCGATTCAACTCATAACGTACGCGCTCTACTCTGTGAGCGATTCAACTCATAACGTACGCGCTCTACTCTGTGAGCGATTCAACTCATAACGTACGCGCTCTACTCTGTGAGCGATTCAACTCATAACGTACGCGCTCTACTCTGTGAGCGATTCAACTCATAACGTACGCGCTCTACTCTGTGAGCGATTCAACTCATAACGTACGCGCTCTACTCTGTGAGCGATTCAACTCATAACGTACGCGCTCTACTCTGTGAACGATTCAACTCATAACGTACGCGCTCTACTCTGTGAGCGATTCAACTCATAACGTACGCGCTCTACTCTGTGAGCCATTCAACTCATAACGTACGCGCTCTACTCTGTGAGCGATTCAACTCATAACGTACGCGCTCTACTCTGTGAGCGATTCAACTCATAACGTACGCGCTCTACTCTGTGAGCGATTCAACTCATAACGTACGCGCTCTACTCTGTGAGCGATTCAACTCATAACGTACGCGCTCTACTCTGTGAGCGATTCAACTCATAACGTACGCGCTCTACTCTGTGAGCGATTCAAGTCATAACGTACGCGCTCTTCTCTGTGAGCGATTCAACTCATAACGTACGCGCTCTACTCTGTGAGCGATTCAACTCATAACGTACGCGCTCTACTCTGTGAGCGATTCAACTCATAACATACGCGCTCTACTCTGTGAGCGATTCAACTCATAACGTACGCGCTCTACTCTGTGAGCGATTCAACTCATAACGTACGCGCTCTACTCTGTGAGCGATTCAACTCATATAGTTTTTGCCGACCGAGCGAATCTTACGAATATGTGCGTGCATAGTGAAGTAGTAGGCGTTAGATATTTTTTAAGTTAACTTTTTCTTCACCATTCGTCTATATTACTTATTCCGTACCTTTTTAAATTTGGGCGTATAGTGCCATATAACCTTGTATATCTTATTTACTAGGTAATAGAGCTTCTTTTTTGCCTTATAGTCCGTATGGGTTGATATCAGCCTCGTTATTAATATTTACCTTCAATCCACACACACACACATATATATATATATATATATATATATATATATATATATATATATATATATATATATGTATATAGTCCACTAATTGCTGCATTTTGCGTTGATAGGTAAAAGAACCAGTATAACTATGAGGTATTTTAGTCACGAGAGGTGCCGGTGCACCTTTAGCTTTCTCTAACTGATATTGCGTGCAGGTGTCCGACATAAGATTGACTTACTCGTTTATAACTTTTATAATATTTCAGTAAATTGATAAAAAAATAACCCGATTGCAGTGCACAATCCAATTAATATATAAATATTTAAAAACAACTGTAGCTAGAGGAAAACTACATCTGAGCTTTTATTATTATTTTATTTTATATATTCAATAGTTTTATATATTATGTTTATTTACATGATATATTTTAGTCGTTTAAACAGTTTCTTTAACACATACCAACTTTGATTTTTCTATTTCTAGTAAGCAGTAGGGTAGGTAGGTAGATCTCGCGCAATAATGTCACACGCAACTTTGTCTTTACAAATATGTTTATACAACTATGTAATACATACATACTAAGATGCTGTCACCCATGAGGACCAAAAAGGAGTGTCTCGTAACCAGTATAAATATAAATTTAACTAACTTCAAATTGCTGGAAAAGAAGTTATTTATTTGCCACTATTAGGGGTGGAATTAGTTCTCTAAATTTATATGCGGCAACCCTTAAAGTACAATCGATTTAATAATAAAAGAATCATCAAACTTGGTGCACAATCTGCGAAGATATCACGTAACATACAAAAAATATATACATATACTCGAATTGAGAACATCTTCCTTTATGAAGTCGCTTAAAGAAGGTCTGCGGTTCTCCACACTCACAAAAAACCCAGAAGCATTAAGCTGCTATTTTACGCTGGCTGGTAGTGAGAGCGTGGTCGTTCCCCGGTCAAATCAACCTATTTGTGCTGCAACCATAATATGGCTGTAGCTCTACGACGAAGAAAACATATCGAACAAAAGTTGTACTATGCAATTCAAATAAGAATAGGACTGTGTATTATTGTTACGAATATTGTGTCATCATAGCTGCCCATTCAAGTCACATTGATAAGGTGAGCAAAACATATATTTTTGAAATAATATTTTTTTTTAATTTAGAATAGGGTGACAAACGAGCACACAGTCCACCTGATGGTAAGTGGTTGCTGCGGCCCATAGACATCTACATCTATCCTCGATTACGAATCATAATGCAGATGCGTTGTCACCCGTGAGGACTAAGATGTAATGCCTCGTTTCCAGCAAAAAGGGTCTCCGGTTCAATCTAATCGTGCTACAACTATACTACTAATATAACTGCAGTTTACCTACGTTTGCTTTACAAAAAATCCATGAATGAAAAAGTATTAATCTGAATGTAGCATTTCAGATTCGCTCATCTCTGTAGTGAAGACAGTGATGTCTGAGTAGTCACCATTGTCATGTCATCACTGCTGCTTTCTTTTGCAAAAATAGAACATGAATTTACGTAGCCATTTAAAATATTCCACCGGCTAGAATCAATATTTTAAATTCATTTCTAAACATAATCATGACTTCAATATATTTGGTAATACAAAAACTTAAATAAAGCGGGAAAAAGTTATTAATATGCACATAAATTTTCTTTGCAAGCCGTACTTATCAAATGACAGTTGACAGATCGCGGTCAAGCGAAGTCATTGTCGTTTCTGTTCTTAATTGAATCGCATTGCATCGCATACGTGGTATATGTTATCGCGTGGATCAACTTGTGTCAATAGTATATTGTAGGTTGCACTGTCACTCAAGGATAATGAATCATTCTTTAAGTAATTTTATATCTGGTAGGATTTAATTTAACTACTCAGACAAAAAATTAATATGACTTGTTACCTTGTGCTCATCCTTGAGTTGGCAGTTGAATTTCTGATGTAGCTCAGATTTAAGTCGCTCTACATCCGACTTACTGCTATCCGTCACTGAAATAAAAAAAGTTTTAGCTTAGTAAATGAACCTAAATTTTTTTTTGTGAAAATGACTTTTTAATTTGTTATTTTATTACCACCTTTTTATTAACTTGCTTTCGTGTATCTCATCATCATCATCATTACAGCCCTTCACAAATCCACTGCTGAACATCCCCCAAGGAATACCACAAAGCACGGTCCTGAGCCACCTTGCATCCATCGACTTCCTGCATGTCTTACAAGTCGTCACTCCATCTAGTGGGGGGAGGCCTTACACTCCACATGTGAACCTTTCTTGCCCAATGGTTATCGGTTCGCTGAGCTATATTGCTGGCCGTGTATGTCTATTTGGGTCAAATTTATTAACTGATTTTAAACTAATTTCGCAATGAGCTAGCGAATCTAGCTCAGAATCAGATGACAATGTAAGAAATATGAAAAAAAGTAGTGGTTATTTTAAAATAAATTTTACCTCAATAATTATTGTTCAAAACTCATCTAATGAAATATTTCTTGTGAGCAGTGGCGAAGCTTCCATAAAAGCCGAAAAGCCGGGCTTGCCTTATTAAAACTGAATCAATCAATAATATCAACTAATAAAACAACTCGTAAAATGTTTCAAGCTATTTCAAATTTCCCGCGCACTCCACTGTCCGACACATGTCGACCGATGACCTCGTATTGCCTTAGCGATACTGCTGCTGTCATAAAAAATGAGTTTTAATAGAGCGATTAGTTGTCTCCCTCACTCGCGTGGGCTTTTTACGGGGCTTTCGAGAAGGCGATCGCTCTCTTTCTAACCTATGGCAAAATATTCTATAATGAAATATAACTACGATTGTATATATAGCAATTAGTATAGAGATTTAAAGCCAGACTTTTGGTAATAAATTTGTTAAAAGCCGAGGCGCGCGGGAAATACGATTGCAAGTTCATTTCACGTTTCAATGTTTATTTATTCTGTGTGCTTATCTTAAGCGGTTTAATATTACGAGTTCAAAATTTATGCTTGATTTTTAATGATAATGGAGGATAATAGTGTTCCTTGTGATGAATTGAAGTGTGTTAAAGTGCTAATCGGAGAGGAAATCTTTAAACTTTTTTGAGATAATACACTCGGAGAGGAAATCTTTAAACTTTTTTGAGATAATACACAAGGTTAAAAGTGTATTTCAGACTTATCAATTATCGCAATTAAAAAACAGTTATTGGTACAATTAAAACGTTCACCAACATTTTACGTGGACGTAATTAAATCTTTCCATAAGAAAGCGAGACGATTCCACTTATCTTATCTTATCTCTTATCCATTATAATGTAAATTATTTTTTTTTAATTTTGTACATAGTTTGTTTGTACTTTGTTTATGTTTTACTTTTGTTCATGTATTGCATTAGATGTAAATATTTTTTTCTTTCGCTTAAACAAACCCAAACGGCTTTCTTCAAAGCCACCGAAGCTATGCAATTGCTGATATGTAATACAATCTATCTAGCAGTGGTATGCCTTCTGTGTGATTTGTTAAACACGTCCTTGACAGCACTGAATATGAAACTGAAGCTTGGAGACAAATCAAGATTGGTGTATTTTTATAAAACTGCTAAAAACAACAATCTATATTTTTATCAATTTATATCTAGGGCTTGCCCTAGCTTGGAGCTCTAGCTTCGCCACTGCTTGTGAGCTGTCAATATGGAACTAAACCTAGGCTGCACTAAAAGTATCGGGAATGGAATATTTCCACTGTTCCTCTCGTATTAAAATCTTTTTAATTGAAAACTCCTTGGTTTTAAAAATCGAATATCATTTATTTATTTAAAAAAAGATTCTCGGTCTTGTCACAAGGTTTTGTCAAACTTGTTTAATCGTTGAGAAAATGGAATTGACTCGAGAAAATTCAAGAGCGATGATTTATTACGACTTTCGAAGTGGTTTAACACAAAAACAGTGTGTTGACCGGATGATTTCTGCATATGGTGATGAAGCCCCATCCAAAACCACATTTTATCGCTGGTTTTCTGAATTTCAACGTGGACGTGTCAAGCTCAGTAATGATCCCCGTCAAGGTCGTCTAAAAACTGCAGTCACCCAAGAAAACGTTGATGCTGTGCGTAAGCTGATTGAGGAAGATCGACATATGACATACCACGAAATTCAGGCAACTTTAGAAATTGGCATGAGTCAAATACAAATAATCTTGCATGAACAATTAGGCGTAAAAAGTTGTTTTCCCGATGGATACCGCATTTGCTCTGTGAAGAACAAAAAGCGGCTCGCGTTACTTGGTGCGTGAGAACTCTCGAAAGATTCCACGCAGGATCCCCAAATGCTGTATACAACATCGTATCAGGTGACGAATCCTGGATATACGCGTACGTACCCGAAACAAAAAACCAGTCACGAGTTTGGGTGTTCGAAAATGAGTTAAAGCCAACAAAAATTGTTCGTTCACGGCGTGTTGCAAAAAAAATGGTGGCCACGTTTGTCTCCAAAACCGGCCATGTTATGACTATTCCTCTTGAGGGACAAAGAACGGTTAATGCAGAATGGTATGCTAGTATTTGTTTGCCACAGGTCGTTTCTGAACTCCGTGAAGAGAACTGCAACCTGCGCATCATCCTCCATCACGACAATGCGAGTTTTCACACCGCACACAGAACAAAAGAATTTTTAGAGCAAGAAAACATAGAATTATTAGACCATCCGCTGTACAGCCCCGACCTAAGTCCTAATGATTTCTATACTTTCCCTAAAATAAAGAATAAATTGCGTGGATAGAGATTTTCATCACCTGAAGAAGCTGTGGACGCCTACAAAACGGCCATTTTGGAGACCCCAACTTCCGAATGGAATGGTTGCTTCAATGATTGGTTCCATCGTATGGAAAAATGTGTCAAACTTCGCGGAGAATACTTCGAAAAGCAATAAATACATTTTTAAATAGTAATGTTGTGTCACTTCCTTGATTCCCGAAATTTTCAGTGCCGCCCTGTATCCATTGTATAAGAATACCAGTAAATTACATCATAGTTCCTTGCAGTCAAAATTTATTTGTATATTTAAAAAAAATACAGAAAACAGATTAATTTTGAGACATTACGAAATGTAGAAAATTCAAACAAGATATCATCATCATTGTAGCCTTCACTATTCTATTCTATGAAAGAGAATAGTGGCCACTATTCAATTCAAGAGAATGGAATATTGGCCTTAGGTGTCTTCCAAGGAATGCCACATAACACTGTTATGAGTGACTTCTGAATTACTGAAGACTTTCGGAATTACTCCAAAGGTTGTTGTCGAATTACAATTTATTTACGAAGCAGCAATTCGATTGGCGTCAGCATAAATTAAAGCGTACAATTCCACCTGGTGTCGGGTGGTGAATAAGTATTTGTAGCGCCTAAGCGTCTTAGTGTAAAAACCATATTCACTTTATCGTTGAAGACGACCATATTGTAATCGGACGGCTGGACAAGGTAACAGACGAGCACATACATTGTCCATCTGGTGATAACTGTGGCCCATACACATCTACATATAACTTCAATTTAAAATCAAATTTCATTCAAAATTCAATCAAAATTCAGATGCGTTGCCAAACCTGAGGACTAAGATGGAATGCCTCGTTACCAGTAGAAAGGACTGGTTCTCTACACTCATCAAACGATATCCCGATACCATCCACACCATCTGGATGCTTGGCGGTCCACCACTAAACGTTTCAAAAGGAGTTTTCTTCCGCGTACAACCTCTCTGTTCAATAGTTTAACACCGGCGATTTTTGCGGACCGATACAACCTGGGGACCTTCAAGAAAAGAGCTTACTCCTTTCTAAAGGGCCGACAACGCACCTGTAATTCCCCTGGTGTTGCGGTTGATCATGGGCGTCGGTAGTCACTTAACATAAGGTGAGCCAAAAAAAAAAAACGAACCACAGCATCATTAAGATGATATTTAACGCTAGTACTCTGTAAGATCGTGGTTATTTGCTTTGGGCATTCTTATTTGGGGATATGTTTAAAAATAGTATGATTTTAATAATCATATACATTTCTAATGACTACTTTTTGTGTACGATTCGTCACATATGACTTAAACTATCGCCACAAATTACCACGGATGCCATTCATTAAAGGCTAGCTTTTATAAAAATAGTTTATGGTCGACGCGATTGATAGCTTTGCGGAAATATGTGTATATGCAATCAGTCTAGACGTTACTATCCAGATTCTGAAATAAGTAGTTTGTATAAATTAATAAGTTAGATATGTATATCAGAGCAGCTTAATGTATTTTAAATTGCATAGTTTTAATGAACATGTGTGTCAGGGTAAGTTAATGTAAAATCAAGTAGGGGTCGGTGAGTTACCGTCTTTGTACGAGTGAGCGGGACCGGGCCGCAGCTTTAGCTGCACGGCGTGCCCGCTGGCGTGCGCGGCGCGCAGCGCGGCCGCCGAGCCGAGCGCGCGCACGCGTCCGCCGGACATTATCGCGATCCGCGAGCACAGCGCCTCCATCTCGTCCATGCTATCGTAAATCGGTTCGTTTTGTACACATATACCACCGAAAATGTTTTTTTAATTTAACCTCCATACTAGAATTTCGTCCTGCATTTTGGGGGCAGTTTACATACATAGAGCCCTCAGCTCCAATTTCACAATACACGAGCAAACCGCATCCCCGCCGCACAATGAAATTGTTATGGCAATTTTACGATACAAACATCGTGAGGAAACCTGCATGTCAAATAGAAAAAATATTTCGAACATGTGAAGCCACTCATTGGGGCAGCGGGGACGTCCCTAAACCCTCTCAAAATAAGAGGATCCCAGCAGGGATGTATATAGCTGTATTTTACTTTACTTTTACATACATAAATTTCAGAACGACAAACATCCAGAACCGGAATGATTACTTGTAGGACGTACAAATAATTGTTCCGTGCGGGTTTTGAACTCACGGTCCTCAGCGTTGCAACTTTTCAAGCCACTGCGCCACGGAGCCATTAAATGTAAATTTGACATAGATCCTTATTTAGTAGTTATAAAGTTCGATTTACATTGTATCGTTGTGTATTCTGCCATAACTTTAGACCTACAAAAATAGACGAAGCACTGCGTACGTTTCAAGTTATGCTGGCAGACATGCTCAAGTTTTGGTACCCACATTTTTTCTTCTTTCTTTAATTATCAGCCCGTGAAAGATCACTGTTGCACGCATATGCATTTAAAATACATTTATGTCAAATGCTTTTATTACATTAAGAAGAGAATAGTTTTGGCTTGGCTTTTGTGTTACATAAATGATAAGCACTGTTTTCGTTTTATTTTTTTGTTGGTCTAAAGCTGGATAGATTTTAACACCACATGGCGGCGACAACCACTACTATCTTCTCGTGGGTAGTACTGTAGTAGTGGTGTCGTATGATGCGATAGAAATATATAAAAGAGGAGATGGATAGAATATCATTTTAATAAAAACTTAAAATAATATCAAATAGGGATTGCCAATACGTCTGTCAAACATAGCAACTATAACTAATATAATTTATAAAGATAATTTAAGCTCTTTGATAAACTGCAATCATAGTGGTAGTGTTAAAAATAGATTTATGATGAAGAACTTTATGCAGAAATTAATTTCATAATATTTAATGTTAGTACGAGTTTTTCCGGGTCGATAGTGCAAGTGGGCGTGCTTCAGGGCTCAATTATCGGATCTTTTTGTTTCCTGTATATATTAATGACTTACCTTATATAGTAGGTGATAAACCATGATATAGCATTATTTGCTGTTGACACTTTGAAAGTAATAAGTTGAAGTAAATAATATATCAGTTAGTAAATTGGTTTAATGTTAATAATTTGCATTTAGATGGCACTAAAACTAAATGTATGAAATTCGTAACTCCGAATGTCAAACATGTTAATACTAATGTTATTTTAAAAGGGGAGGAACTGCGTCTTGTCGATACCACCTTTTTTATTGAAATCACACTAGACGCAAACTTTTAATGGGGCCCCCATATATCAAAACTAGCTAGGAGACTTAGTTCTGCAGTATGCGCTGTAAAAACATCAGAAGTCTTACCAGTGTTGAAACAGCTAGACTAGTTTACTTTAGCTATTTTCATAGCATTATGTCATATGGTATTTCGCTATCGAGCGATGACTGATACTGAAATTATATTTGTTTTATTCTATGTTTTATTATATGCTGTAATAAAGATAAGAACTCTTGCCAGTGTTGAAGTCGTTTGAAAAACAACCGTAAAAACTAAAAACTAAAGACTAAAAAGGAGTTATAAAGAAGGAAAATGCGCACCTGTGTGAGGTGACGACCGTGGCGCGACGAGCGGCGAGCGCCCGGCGTAGAGCCGCCCAGACGCGGCGGCGTGCCGACACGTCCACGCCCGACGTGGGCTCGTCCAGCAGCGCCACGCGCGCGCCCGTGCACAGCGCCGCGCCCGCCGCCAGCCGCCGCGCCATGCCGCCGCTGTAGCCCGCCGCGCGCCGCCCCGCGCTCTGCTGCAGTCCTGCGCACATGCACCGTGCAGCACTCCTAAACTGCCGCAGCCTTACACACACGCATCGTACAGCGCAGCCACACTATTGCAGGCCTGTACAGCGCACCCACACTACTGCAGCCCTATACACACGCGCACCGTACCACACACCCACTGTACTGCCGCCCTATACACATGCGCACCGTACCACGCACCCACTTTACTGCCGCCCTATACACACGCGCACCGTACCACGCACCCACTCTACTGCCGCCCTATACACACGCGCACCGTACCACGCACCCACTGTACTGCCGCCCTATACACATGCGCACCGTACCACGCACCCACTCTACTGCCGCCCTATACACACGCGCACCGTACCACGCACCCACTGTACTGCCGCCCTATACACACGCGCACCGTACCACGCACCAACTGTACTGCCGCCCTATACACACGCGCACCGTACCACGCACCCATTTTACTGCCGCCCTATACACACGCGCACCGTACCACGCACCCACTCTACTGCCGCCCTATACACACGCGCACCGTACCACGCATCAACTCTACTTCCACCCTAAACACACGCGCACCGTACCACGCACCCGCTCTACTGCCGCCCTATACACACGCGCACCGTACCACGCACCCACTCTACTGCCGCCCTATACACACGCGCACCGTACCACGCACCCACTCTACTTCCACCCTAAACACACGCGCACCGTACCACGCACCCGCTCTACTGCCGCCCTATACACACGCGCACCGTACCACGCACTCACTCTACTGCCGCCCTATACACACGCGCACCGTACCACGCACCCACTCTACTTCCGCCCTAAACACACGCGCACCGTACCACGCACCCACTCTACTGTAGACCTAAACACACGCGCACCGTACCACGCACCCGCTCTACTGCCGCCCTATACACACGCGCACCGTACCACGCACCCACTCTACTGCCGCCCTATACACACGCGCACCGTACCACGCACCCACTCTACTTCCGCCCTAAACACACGCGCACCGTACCACGCACCCACTCTACTGTAGACCTATACACACGCGCACCGTACCACGCACCCAGTCTACTGTCGCCCTATACACACGCGCACCGTACCACGCACCCAGTCTACTGTCGCCCTATACACACGCGCACCGTACCACGCACCCACTCTACTTCCGCCCTAAACACACGCGCACCGTACCACGCACCCACTCTACTGTAGACCTATACACACGCGCACCGTACCACGCACCCAGTCTACTGTCGCCCTATACACACGCGCACCGTACCACGCACACACTCTACTTCCGCCCTAAACACACGCACACCGTACCACGCGCCCACTCTACTGCCGCCCTATACACACGCGCACCGAACCACGCACCCACTCTACTGCCGCCCTATACACACGCGCACCGTACCACGCACCCACTCTACTTCCGCCCTAAACACACTCGCACCGTACCACGCACCCGCTCTACTGCCGCCCTATACACACGCGCACCGTACAGCACACCCACACTACTGCAGCCCTGTACAGCTCACCCACTCTACCGCAGCCCTATACACTTTCATTTTTTTTCAAAGATAGAAATAAATAGACACGTAAAAACAATAATACGTACCGACAACTTCAATCCAAGACATAGCCGCGCTCTTTACGTCTTTAGCGGAGAGTCCTCGTAGTGTAAGTAGGAGAGCCAAGTTGTCGTAGCCGCTCAGGAAGTCATCCAGCCCGAAGAATTGCGGACAGTAGCCCAGGGAGTGAAGATACTGGAAATTAAAATACTTATAGCTAAACTGTTTTAAATAAGTCGTAATTGTCCTCCTGTTTTAAAAGTGTTATCAATTCTACCCTCACTTATCCTCAAGACTAAAAACTACTAGGTACAACTCGCGGCACGAAAGTCTAGCGGTGACCGTTATTGCGCATAATTAGCCGTATTACGCATTATTGGCTGTGCGTATCGTTCGCTCGCGCTGATTGGCTCTCCAGTCGCATTCCGTTCCCCGTAATATACGACTTTCGCAGCTATCTCCTACACGATTTTCATTCAGCGCTAGAGCTACGTGCCGAGAGTTGTACTAGGACTCCGTCCGTCTAGTTAAGTACCACTTTCTTACGTATTTGTGCCACCAAGAAACAGTGCTTGCACTGCTGTATTCCGGTGTGAAGGGTATAGAAAGCCAGTAAGAATAACAGAATGTGAGGAAATCCTGGCCCAGAGGTGACAACGTAACTGCAGACTTCTTTGTATGAAGTTGGCAACAGGTGTCCATGGCTACAGTGCACGTACCATCAGGTGGACTGTAAGTTCATTTGTGCTTTGATCACTCGATCGAACTTGAACTGATTCGACGGCTCAATGGCGCAGTGGCTTAGCAATGAGTTGCAGCGCTAAGGGCCACGGGTTCGAATCCTGCACGTAACAAATATTTGTATGGCTTCCAGATAATTGTTCCTGTTTTGTGTTTATGTATGTAAACTGCCCCCATGATATATGAGAAAAAAAAAAGGCCTACAGATATTCTGTTTTTGTTTGTGGCTGCGACCTAGTTTTAATCGAGCACGCAGTTTACTTTGATGATGAGTGGTAACTGCAACCACAACTAAACAAAGGCTGTTTATGAGTTTATGATGATGATGACGATATGAAATGCAAAAACTCTTTCTGCTGTCAATGACTTTTTTAATAGAATAAAGGTGTCAAGCAAGCACACAGTTCTCCTGATGGTAAGTGGATATTGTAACCTATAGCAGCAAATTCAGATGTGTTGTCACCCCCGAAGTTAAAGATGGAATGCCTCGTTTTCAGTAAAATGGGTCGCCGGTCTCTCCAGTTACCATACGAAACAAAGCAGCATTATTTAGCTATTTACGCGGGTATTCTGTGAGAATGTCCTACCTCGGTCGAGCCGATCGATTCGTGCTGGAGCCATAATATAACTGCAGCGTTTTCTAATACGTTCAAAATTACTGAAGAAATAAATATCACACCTTCCCGCGGTTCTTTTTTAAGTGTTGCCCATTGGCAAAAATAGTCCCACGTGTAGGACATTCCTCGGCGGTTAGCATCTTGAAGGTCGATGATTTTCCGGCGCCGTTAACGCCCAGCAGCCCGAAGCATTCTCCTTGAAATTGGAAAGATTTATGGTTAATAGATTGACTATTACATTAACAAAATTAAACTTTCCACGAAAAATTAAAATCAACCTCAGAAAAAAGAGAAAGAAAATAATCTCCACTACGAGATTTTCATTCCCTATTTTTAAATTCTTATAGGTGAACTTTTAATCTTAATTTAAATATGACTACCGCTGAATTATTTTATACCTATTTAATAAAAAAGTTCGGTCACAATCAAGCACTTTTTTTCGTATAAAATAAAGCGCTTACCCTTTTTCACGGAGAAACTGACACCCTTAACGGCGTTGCAAGATTTCTTGAACAACTGTACGTAGTTTTTATGAATGTCGTCCACGAGCATCGCTTCCTGAATCTGGTTAGGGGCTGAAACAAACACAGTATATATGTATATATATTTTTGACAAAGCTAACACCGTACTGTACGTAACAAATACAACTAAAATTCTTGATAGGATATCTAAGTAATTGTCAAAGATTGGACATGGTTCACCTATACTATATCCTATTACATAAAAAGAAACTAGGTACGTATGGTGGGTTAAACTAATGCATTTATTGTTACGAAAGTCAGCTATAAGTTACACCTTTACATGTGAACCTTTCACAAAAACGTAACGTGACCTCAGACCAACTAAGACGGAGCGCTGCGTAAATTTCAAAAGACGCAAAAACCAAACCAAAGCATTGTAAGAACACACCCCGCACACTCACGCACATATCTAAAATAATTTGCAACCTACAACATGATTTAAGTTTTTTTTTTTATAGAATAAGGGTGACAAACGAGCACACAGTCTACCTCATGGTAAGTGGATGCTGTGGCCCATAGACATCTACATTTATCCTCGATTAAGAATCAAAACGCAGATACGTTATCACTCTGAGGACCAAGATGGAATGCCTCGTTTCCAGTAAAAATGGATCTCCGGATCTCTACACTCACAAGAAGAAACACAGCAGTATTAAGCTGCTATTTAACGCTGGTATTCTGTGAGAGCGTGGTCGTTCCCCGGTCGAGTCGACCCATTCGTACTACAACCATCATATAGCTGCAGCGTGGCTCTACCACACATAGCGCATAATAAGGTGCATAATATGTCTGTTCCCGTAACATGGTAGCGTAATTTAAAAATAAAAAACGACCCCAGTAGGGTACCAGCACCCCTGGTAATGAAGAATCCCTCACTGCTCACTCGGATGCTCATTCGCGCCAAAGCTACCCTTCTCTTCTTGAGCGTGGGTGCTCAGGCAGCCCCGCGTATTCTGGAGGGGGCAAAATCCCGCTCAATACTAACACTGCACGGGGCAAACAGAGCGATTAAAACCATGGCAACTCCTACCAAGCTAGCCGTGAACTTTTGCAAAACTTTTGCGTCAGGGGGCTTCATTCGAACCTACACGCCGTCTACTACCATCTCGAGACCGCAAAGCCGGTCCTGCTCTTTCGGACTGAGACGCAGAAGTCCTCTCCGGCTGATGCTTCGTATCACTCCTACCCGGGGTACAAACCGGAACACTCCTTTGTGCCTCGGGCTGCAGTTTGCGTAAACGTTAGAGAGGACATCTGTTCTCGACGCCTCGGCAGCCTTGAAGGTTAGGACCTGTCCATCTGTTTGGTCTACTGGTGCCTCTATAGGTTCCATAGTGGTAATGACGATACAGACCCACTCATCGATCACGTCTAAATGGCTACAATTTCCTTGCCAGATTTCATTCGCAGAGATTGTGATACTAGGAGATTATAACGTCTTCTACGCCGAATGGCTCGGTTTACGTTTAACCGATCATGCGGGGAGATCTGTCTATGACTGCTTTTGCATATGGTCTGACATAACTGGTTATTTCACCTACGCGGATTCCAGATGTGGAAGCCTTTCCCTGTTGGACCTACTGATAAACTCTCATCCGGACGGCTCTTCGGATCATTGTCGGATTCGGAGTAAGGTGTGGTGCTCACGCTCCCTTAGCATTTACGTTCTGCAGGTTGAAGCCGTGTTTGGCAAAACAGGTTGGAGTTTGAACAGCGGATTGGGACGGAATGTAGTATTAATTTGCATCACACCCACGGGAGCGGGGTTTGCTTCTCGCCAAATGATCGCAGCGCTGTTGCTCACTCTGTCACTGATATCGTGCTCCAGGGAATGGAACTATTTATTTCATCATCTGTGGTTCTGTAAGCCATCACTACCATCTCTGCACAAGGAGGACGACACACTAGCCTATCGCCATCACCTCCTTGTTCTCCAAAATAATGGAGTCCATTATTAACAGCCTATTCATGTGGTACCTTGAGAAGCACCAGCTGACTAGTGACTGCCAGTATGGTTTCCGTCAGTTAACGCTGGTGTTCTACAATGCTGCGTGCTATCACTAACGCTGTTTCTTCTGCATATCAATGACATGTTGCAAACCGGTAACATTCATTGCTATGTAGATGACAGCACTGGTGATGTTTTATACACCGGCCATGCCAACATTTCTAAGGAAAACGTTACCGAGTACCGGAACAAACTTGTGTCTGAAGTCGAGACATTGTTTAACGAAGTCTCGGATTGGGGGCGGCTAACACCCGTATTTATAAACTAGTAAAAGTAATTACTTGAGTAAAAGTATTTACTTAAGTAACGATTTGTATTCGACAGTTAAGTAATTGCTCTAAGTTAGAACTGTCAAAAGTTAGAACACTCAGTCAAGTAATAGTAACCATTTCCTTTACTTAAGCACTACTTTGAGGTTATTTTGGAAACTTTGGATAGCATTGAAACGGTTTTTGCTGTTGTAGACAATATATATGATAATAATATATTAGAGGAGATAGAATATGTTTATATATATATATATATATATATATATGTATATGTATGTGTGTATAATTTAAACAAATAAGTATAATAATTAAACATTGTATTTATGTTGTAAGTTTTACACTCTTTACTTTTACACATTTAATTTTATCGAATAATTATTATTTCTAACAGAAAACAAGACTTAATTAAACATTTTTTTTTACTTTTACGTTTATTTCTTTAGAGTTGAATTTTAAAATAACGATTTTAACAACCTGGTGCCTAGTAAGCGCTCACGGGGTACCGAAGTTGCCACGATAAGCAAATAGATCTTAGTAGGCTAAGAAGCCCGGGTGACAACCCTTTCATGCCATCTCGATCTCCAACTCATCTCCCTTTATAGGAGTGACAGGTGATTATATTAATATATGTAACTCTTTTTTCGGGATCATGTTATTTCTGCTAAATAAACCTTTCTTACTTTAAACGTTTAGACGTTATCTAACTTCGACATTTTTTACGAATATTTATTTTCGGCGCCATAAAATTCGTGTTAATCGTCGTTCGTAAGTTTTAACATACGGAATTTTATGCCTTCGAATTGTTGGTTATTTCGAAACCTTTGACAGTAAGCCAAAACATCGTTCATAATAATGAAGAACGATGTTTATGAACACAGAAACAACCACCAAGCGTAGAGTTTTACTTGGGCATTTGCTCAAGTAAGTAACGTGTGTTACTCAACTGTAGAATGAGATTTTGTAATTAAGAATTCTAACACTAAGTAATGACTTAACTAAGAAATTACTTAGCAACAAGTAATTACTTCTTTATAAATACGGGTATAAATCTAGTCCAATCCAAGTTCCCAGCAGACACAAGTTTGCGCGTTAACCGCTAAAAAGAACCCCTTCGTCGTATCTCCACAGTTTCAAGGCACTCCCCTTGTTGCCTCAGCCTTGTATTCTTAAGTATTGGATTCCTCAGCGTCGACATATCGAATGACGTACAGTTTTAGTTTCTGGAAGAGAAGGCCAAACGGGCTTCTAAAAAGCTTGGCGTGCTCATCTGAGCGAGACAGTATTTCATGCCGGCACACCGCTTGCGACTTTACAAGGCGCAGGTTGGGGTTCACACGGAATACTGTTCCCATTTCTGGGCTGGGGTTCTCCAGTGCCAGCTCTTTCCATTTGACCGTATCTAACGAAGAGCGGTTCGAATCGTCAGCAACCGAGCACTTTCTGATCAGCTTAGCTCATTGACGCTGCTAAAAGATATTGCTTTTCTTTACGCATTCTATTGTATTTGTTGTGCTCTGAGGAATTGTTGAGATTAATTCCAGCCGCTCAATTTCACCATCGCACATCGCGATACCATCCTTACCACCTAGATGATTGGCGGTCCATTACAGTGCGATTTATATGAAGTTTTCTTCCTTGCACAACGTTTTTGTGGAATCGTCTACCACCAGCGATTTTTACGGATCGATAAGACTTAGGGATCTTCAAGAAAAGAGCCTACTGCTTTTTAAAAGGCCGACAACGCATCTGCAATTTCCCTGGCGGCGGTGCTCTTGTGTCTCCTCTCATATAAAAAAAATCTACGTCTATCCTCGATTAAGGATCAAAATGCAGATGTGTTGTCACACCTAGTTACTAAGATGGAACACCTTGTTTTAAACAATATTAGCATTGAGACTAGTTCATCAACTCATGCATTATTATAATTGTTTGGACTCACGCAGAGCGATCGCCTGGCTGACGTATGTCTTCTCAGCGCGCACCATTTCATCTGCATCGTCTTTATATTTCGGAGAGTAGCGTTGATTGAACAAGCGGTCAGCAAGCCGGTTGAACACACCGTGCTGCGTTAGGATCACCAGCGTCTGTGGAATAAAAATAATAATTGTTTTTTTTAGAATAAGGGTGAATGCGGATTTGTTACACTACTATTGGATATATTAATTATGTATAACATGCTGAATATGCTATGGTCTACTTTCAACGTAGCTTTTTATAAAATAAGGGTGATAAGCGATCACACACCACCTGATGGTAAGTAGAAGCTATGGCCATATATATATATATATATATATATATATATATATATATATATATATCGATGAAGAGTCAAAATAAAGTTTTGCTACGTGGTAGAGCCACTCTGCAGCTATATTATGGTTGTAGCACGAATGGCTCGGCTCGACCAGGGAAGGGCCACACTCTCAAAGAATACCAGCGTAAAATATATTTAGAAAGCGTTAAATTATTATAGAAAGGTTGATAAAATTATTTTGGAATCAAACAAAGAAACATTGCATTACATTAGTACATTTCTCTTTACTTTAGTCGTCAGTTTCCCTAAATTAAGTCTAAATAGTAGATCTCCTGCCACTCATTTTTATCATGTATATATAAATTTTCACTAAGAATAACACATTTAGAAAGCTTGATAAAATTATTTTGGAATCAAACAAAGAAACATTGCATTACATTAGTACATTTCACTTTACTTTAGTCGTCAATTTCTCTAAATTAAGTCCAAATAGTAGATCTCCTGCCACTCATTTTTATCATGTATATATAAATTTTCACTAAGAATAACACAATGAAATACTTTATTTTTTACTAAATTAGTCAAAACATAAGCATGTGCCCGCAATTTGATCAGTACTCGATGATGCAATAACATGTCAGGTGTGGCGGGGAGCGAGGGGCAGGGTACGGCGCTAATCCCGCGCGCATTACGGCAACAAGTTTCGACATAAATTGGTTAGGTACCACCTAGGTGATCCTGACGAATAATGTTCGGCCGAATATTCGGGTCGGTGAAAGTTTTACACCGAACTTTCGGCCGAATGTTTGTATTCGGTGAAATCCATATTCGGTCCTCTCTAGTAATTACACTATAAAATAAAAATAAAATTGTGGTTGTGAACACGCCTGTTTAGGGTTGCAACTAAGGCAACTACCCCATGAAGCAATTTGTGGACTATGTACATTTAATGATGAGTATGATGAATGATCAGAAGGAATAAGAGGTCTTTTCTCTGCTGCTTACTATTACTTAATCAGACACAAATTAAACTTATTTCTTTGTTGTTACTCAATATACTTACGATGTGTGGACCAAAACATACCATCATCATTATTACAGCCCCTCATTAGTCTACTGCTGAAGATAGGTTACTCTTTTCTGAAAGACTGGCAGTTGCACCTGCAATTACCTTGGTGTTGCAGTTTTCATGGGCGGCGGTCCACACTCACCATGAGGTCGCACGCACGTTTGACTCCTTCTTTAAAAAAAGGCCTTTCCTATAAAGTACAGTCTTGAGTCACTTGAATCCATCGACTACCTGCATGTTTAATCAGATCGTCGTTTCATCTTTAGGACTTTCCTGTACAATTAGCTTATCGATAACCTTTGATGTCACGCGATGCCGCCAATCGCGTAGGTATTTACGCATGCAGCGTGTAAGCTAAGGGTTGTCACGAAAATGCGAAGAAGTTATATATATGGATATTGTAATATTCATTATCATTTATTTACACTATGTACGTATTTACAAGTAAAAACATTTATTAAACAAAATCATTTTTTTATAATTCTACAAGTGAACACACATTTACAAGTGATGCATTGCCAAATATTTTCGTGACACTTTCTTTTTATAGATATTTTCTGTCTTAGATTGTTAAATTTAATTATGCATTGTATTCGCATTCGGATAAACAATTTCATCAAAAAAAAAATGAAACATAAGTATGGCCGCTATTTGAATTCAACTATACTTAGTAACTCATATAACTATAACAGTAATACACCACTGTACATACTATATTTTTCGAAAATGGCACTTAATAGTAGTTAAATATGTACTGTAAAACACGGCCGAGCGCATACAGCAGACTTATGCGTGCGCCGCTGCTCTGTACGGGTGCATTCGTTTCCCAGCTATAAGGTCTTTAAAACTGTGCCGACACGACTCTGCTACTTGAGAACCTTTCTTCCCCATCATTTGTCTGATCTTCGAGCTATTTGGCCGGCCCTTTCATTTCACTTTAACTTATTGTTTCGTTGCACCACGTTAGTTATTGGACTATGTTGGACAAACTGGTTCTATTGCGGATATACTCACCATATAAACGATGAATTGACAGAACATAATCAGCATCGACTGTGCGGGTGAGTAGTCATCTATGCAGAAGTAGCATCTCGGGTTGCTGTTCAATACTGCAACAACATTTAAAAACTGCAAACCCTGACGAGAATTACAGAGAACTGTTAACTATGAGAATTTTTCTACATCTTTAGCCAATTTAAGTCCACATTTAGACATAAGCCGTCCAAGAAGACATCAATTCTTGGTAGCGTTGCCTATTCTCAGCACGCTCGGCAGACAGGATGATTATCGTAAGGCCAATATTGTATTGACAAACATATTATATATGTAAATTATTTGATTGCCTCAGTGGCCTAGCGATTATAACCGTCGAAAGATTGGGTGAGGCAAAAAAAAAATTGTTATTGAGTTTGTATGTCGTGAAATTGTCAGTAGCAGTCAGGAGTCAGGATGTTTGTGGTGCTTCGCTTCCGTACTTCAGAAAGCACGTAAAGCTGTTGGTCCTGAACCTGCTCTCTGGTCGTGTTCGATTGTCGTACTGTCAGACTATGACAGTAACGGAATAGAGAGAGCACCTGTGCTTGCGCATACACTCGGATACTATTATCCTTTCGAAGATGGTTTCCGTTGAAACTAGCCACCGTGACCGAAATTTTGTCTTGAATGGCTGCATTTGGCAGATAAAAGCGCTAGGAAGCGCTTGTAAGCAAAATGGCGATCGTAAGCGGTAAGCGCTGGCAAATCGTAAGTAGCTATTTTCCTCTAGGACACAAAGTTTAAAACTAACTTTTCTACTAACCGGGGAACCTAAACTAATTTAAATATATGTTTGTAAAGTATTCATATTAAAAACTTACCAATCATGAATTTTAATAACATGTATAATATGTTTATTCATGTCATTATATTACTTGAAACTAATATTGCACAAAACAACTTATAAACTCTACTTCATACCGAACAAAGTATTTCAAAATGGCGGATTGTGTCAGCGCTACTAAAGTCAGCAAACGTCTCCTGGCCGAAAACCGTAGTTTCGCCAGTTTGCTTACAAGCGCTTCTTAGCGCTTTTTTCTGCAAACGCAGTCATTATATGTAAGCTAATTATTGACGGTGCGAATATTGTTCAGCAGTCATCCACCGGAACTGAGGTTAGTTGAGTTCTATTGTAATCGGCACAATTTAGAAAACTGGATCACCCTTCAACTGAATGCTATATCTTTATTAGATTAATATTTTAATACTACATATCGGCCCTGTGTTGCAGTGGCTTAGTATTGAGTAACGGGGCTGAGGGTCGCGGGTTCGAATTCCGCACGGAACAAGTACTTGTATGGCTTACAAGTAATTGTTTCGAGTCAGGATGTATGCTCTTGTGCAATTTATATATGGAAACTGCTTCCGAGATACAAGAGAAAATTCTAATGTGGGGGTGATGTTTAAAAAAAAAGAATAATAATCTGTCTATCAGCTTTATCAGTTTTCTCTTGTTTATACTAAAATGTAGGTTCAGTAGGCTTACCCAGTACTTTCAGTTTCATAGGCTATAGGTATTTCATCTAAAAATGTTTTTAAAGTAAATTTTTTTTTTAGTATTTTTTGGGATTTCAAACTTGATGAAATGAAAAGCGACAATAAAAAATGACAAACATATATATCTATAGGCTTTAGCCCGTGAGAGAATGAGATAGAATACAGTGTAGAAAACGACAGTAACTAATGCAATATTATACCAATTCGTGATTTCATTACTTCATGCCATCTAGCGTTTATTTTACGTACCACCTTGAGTGTTAATGCATTTTTGTTCAATAAAATGACTTTACCTATAGAATGAAGTAGACAGTGCTCATCACACAAAGCGATTTTACTCAAAAGAAAATATTTTTTTGATTTATTACGCTAAAATTTGGACTAAAATAAGGATTGTAACATTTATTTGTTATGCTATGCAGCACTTGTGGTCAAAAATACTCTTATTTAAATAAATAATTTGCCGTGAAATATTTTTATTACCGCGCGTGAACTGCACACATGTTTTTTTTTACTTTAGAATTAGACATGTATCAATCATGAATAATTCGTTCGTTTGAGCTGATCACTTAAAAGTATTGATGGTTCATTTATCTGTTTTTGAATGTTCCGGTACAATCAATTACAAAAAATTGACGGAACCTTTTTAATTCGTGACTGATGTGAATGAGTCGAAAACCGACTGAATCCCGAATGACCTGAATGAATTGTTTTTAGTGTAGGGTACTGGAGCCCGAAATGATTCATTTGAATGATCGAGCCTAATGTATTGGTACGAGTGACAAAATGTACTAGAATGATTTGGTTACGAGAAATGAATGATTGACACACGTCTATTTAGAATCGTTGTGACTTAAATCTCAATGAAACGTAAAAGAGACAAACGTATACATCTGTAGGATTTAGCCTGCGTGTGAATGAGAAAGAATACAGTACACAGTGTTTCGTTTTAAGTTTAGTTTTTCGAAGGTTACACTTTTACCACGTGTGAACAGCACACTTTTTTTGAGAAATCGAAAAATTTCTAAATTGAATGGTCTTTAATGACTACCTTAAATTAAAAAAAACGACACATTAATAGATCCTCTGGATCTGGATAGAGTCCAGCGGTCCTCTGGATTTGTGTAAATTGTTTTCAAGGTTTTTTTAGTTCAGTGTACGAATATAGTAAATACATAAATCAGTCTAATGATGTTGTAATTAGTTCTAACTCAAATAGTCAAGTAACTATATGTGACTTAACATTCTCAAAAGATGAGATAACTAAGATTCTTAAAGCCTTGGACGTGACAAAGGGATCTGGATCAAAGAGATCAGATGGTATCTCGCCCTTTTTTCTAAAATGTACCGCCGAATCCATTAGTACACCATTGTTTATTTTATTTAATCGCAGTTTGAGGGAGGGAGTAGTGCCGCAGTCATAGAAATCGGCAAACATTACACCTGTGTATAAAAATGGCCAAAAAATGACATCACCAGCTATCGTCCAATATCTATTTTGTCCACGTTGTCAAAAGTGCTGGAAAGATTGGTCCACAACGTTGTCTATCCATATCTGCATAGTTTTATTATTCCTGAACAACATGGTTTTGTCCGAAATCGCTCCACGGTAAGTAATTTGGCTTTATACGCTAACTTTTTATTTGAAAATATGGATAACCGACTCCAAGTTGACACCATTTACACTGATTTCTGTAAAGCTTTTGACAAGGTGGACCATACCATACTACTACAAAAAATCGCATTTAATGATATACGTGAGAATTTGTTACGCTGGTTTGCTTCTTATGTAAAAAATAGAACCCAAAAGGTTGTGGTCAATGGCTTTTCTTCAGATGTGATAGATGTGACATCTGGTGTACCGCAGGGATCAATTTTGGGGCTGTTGCTTTTCGTTCTCTTCATAAATGACATTAGTACCTGCTTCAAAAACACCCATTTTCTCTTATATGCTGACGACCTAAAAATTTTTCGGAAAATAAACACAACTGAAGATTGTTATAAATTGCAAAGTGATCTGGATCGTTTGTCTGCTTATTGTGCTGCTAATAATTTACAGCTAAGTTTAAGGTTGCGCGGAAAACCATTCGTATTTATTTTATTTGACGGTAGGCTAAATCGGTTATCCCTTTCCAAAACGATATCATTCGTACCCTCCTATCGACACATCGGGCTGGTGGGGTGGGAGGGGAAAGAAGATGATTCTAGAACATCACGTAATCATCGGAACCGAGGATATATAAGACACGCGCGACCGACGCGTGGTCTCTTCCCGCCGCGCTCGCCGTTGAAACTACACCGATTCTCTCCCGACGTATCTCTGGGGCCCCAGAGTGTCTGTCCAGAGGAGGTTCCAGAAGTCGTAGTTATAGTGCTCGACCGCACAGAAGAAACATCCCAGTGAGTCAACATTTTCCTAATAGTATTTTCCTGCTTGATATAGTTGTTTTAACCCGCTTCAATTTTGTGTTTTCCCAATCAAGCAGGATTCCTTTCATCGATTTGGCAAATAATAGTTCGTTTTTTTGGGAAGAGCGAGTGCATTGTACCGCATATATAAGTGTAGAAGCATTAGTAGATACAGTCCACTTAGATTAATATCTCGCGTAATAGGTTTAAGGTTCGACCGGGGAACTAGACTTCGGCAGCCTAAAACACGTGGCTCCACCACAAAATGTAAATCTATCACATTTACTAAAAATTTAATGTCATCCATTTCACATACTCTCTTTGTAACACTCCCTTACAAAAAGTCTCCAGAATAAAAGACCTGGGAATACTATTTGACTCGAAGCTACATTTTGATGCTCATATTAGTCACATTACGGCTAAAGGCTTTCAGCTTAGTGCTTTCGTAAGAAGGACCTGTAATCTGTTTAAAAGGCCTGAGACGTATTTATTACTATATAAGTCACTCATTAGGTCACAACTCGAACGCCACTTGTGTTTGGAACCCTTATTATGAAAAATATAGTAATCAGCTGGAATTGGTACAGCGTAAATATCTTCGGTTTTTAAACTATAAATGCTTTAGGAAATGGTCATCGTATCTCACTCATTTAGATAAATTCTCAATTTCCACTCTAAAAATGAGAAGATTATATTTTGATCAGTTATTCTTATATCTGTCATAATAAATAAGATTGTAATCAACTCATAAATAAAATATATCTACGCATACCTAGTCGGTCCCAACGCATTCGTAATACGTATAGTCATCGTTTATTTGCTCCTAAGATGTGCCGAACAAACGCGGGAGAGAGAGCTCCACTACGGCGATCATGAAATCATATAATGATAACTTTACTGATCTTGACATATTTGCTTTATCATTTGTAATGCTCAAAAAGTGTATTTTAAAAAAAATGACTAATAAGTAAAGTATTTAAACAGTTTATTAATGATTCAACTGTTGTTTCTCGAGGCAAGTTTTGGCTAGCATAGCCACTGCAGTGGTTGTGTTGGCTGGGATTTGCTCAGGGAACGCTCGAATTATTCATCTTTTGTGGTATCATACAACATGTTTGCTGTGCATTATCATATTACTTTTATTGTGATATTACTTTGTGGATAACGGTGCTGGTTGTGTAATTATTTGTATTTTTATAAGACCTGTATTTTGTATTATATTTTATTACACAATTGTTTGTTGTCCTAAAGAAAATAAAATAAAAATAAAAATCCTACCCACGTGAAGCTGGGGCCTGTAGCTAGTCTTAAATACAAACACTTTGAGCCAGAAGAAAAATTTAACTCACCACAACAAGTATTCGTGTCGAATCCGTCTTCGGGCACGAACAGACGGGGGCATTTAGGCTTGTTGAGCGTACAATACGCGTTCAATCGCGCCACGTTGACGGCCTTCATGGCTGCAATAGTCAATGTATGCGGCGGGGCGATGAAGCTGCAGAAGGTCAGAATATAGTGCCAGAAATCTTTGTCCTGATTGCCTTTGAAAATGTCGTCGGCTGTCTTCATTGACGTCGTAAAGAAACCTGCGGGCAACATACACTTTTATATTTAACTGTACAATATTCTCATAAAGGTTATCAATAATAGAAGGGTTAACGGGGCAAAATAGTATGACCCCCAACCTTTAAACGAGTTCCCTTCTTGTTGTAGCAGGGGAAGCTTAGCAGCCGTGGATTGGTCACCCACGGTGAACTAACAGGAATACATATGGCTAACTCAAGTAGCTACTCCGAGTATGCTTGGTGAGGCATGTTGGCGAATTGTAGCGGAAGGATGTCCTCTCTTCCTACCGCCCGCAGCGAAGGTTAAGTCGTAGAAGTGTTGGTATGGCGATACACCACTTGTCCTATCTTCCGCAACTCAGGCGGGACTGTATCATTAATGTAGTGGTGGTGGGGCCACAGATGGAGGGGTGTGACGGTATGTCGAGGCACCGCTTTCTCTACCCTCTGCGGCAAGCTTGTTCGGCAGCGAAAACACAGACCAGATCCGTCGTTAGGATCAGGAAGGCTACTGCATCCCAAAGTTCATTTTGCCTGACCCCATTTCCTTCACGAATCGGTACTCAGCTGGTCTGTTGCGCAGGTGGAATTACAGGCGGCGGAGGAAGGCGTGCCTTGTTGATGCGCTTTATCCAAGAAAAAGGGGGAGAGGTTGTCTTCTCCCGAAAAAATGCTGCCGGTACTATACACATGGATGTGTTTAAGAGCCTTACCGTGGTTCTAACAACATGCAACAAACTTGAAACACCAACAACGATATGGACATGGTTCAAGTCCGACATTACTCGTCCTTGCCATTCCATATTTAAATAAATGTCTCAAAATTTGTGAACATACGGCGTATTTGTTTTACTATGGTACGTAGTAGAGCCACTGCCAGCTATATTTTGGTTGTAGCACGAATGGGTCGAAATGACCGGAGTAGAAACACGCTCTCACAGAATACCAGCGGAAAATAGCAGCTCAATGCTGCTGTATTTCATATGGTGAGTGTAGAGAACACGAGACCTTTTGTACTGGAAACGAGGCATTTCATCTTAGATTCATAATTTCGGATAATTAAGGATGTTTATGAGCCACAGCATCCACTTACCATCAAGTAGACTGTGTGCTCCGTTAGTCACACTTATTCTATATAAAAATAATATACTTATTTTACAATTTTATGATAATTTATACACAAAGTACTTGAGTTTAGTGCAAAGTGAAAGTGAAATTTTAGTGTGACAGCTCGATTATGCCGTGAATGTATAGTGTTTACCAACTAGGTGTTTTAAATAAACAGTGTAATGATCGGAGAACCAACATACCGAATATAATGATACAGGCGACGAGTACCGTGCTGGAGCCACGCTCGCCAAAGTAGAAGCTCACCAGGTACATGAACGAGAAGAAGGAGAGACTGCCCAGGAGCAGCACCACAAACATAGTGCCTGAGGAATAGAAAAAAATTTGCATTATGACACATATTACGATTAACAAAGCGCAAATCCTATCGTACTTGACGTATTACTGCCATATAAGGGCTGGTGCTGCAAAATGCTTTGGATTCAATGAAAGTGCGTACTAAGAGGCTTATCAGTGACTTCACCAACATAGGCTCCTTTAACATAGGCGCCAGACTTTCAATTTGCTACAGGATACATTTCAGAGTGTAGGAATTGTATTACTTAACTCCTCCCACCCCCTTCCACCATCGGACAACTAGACGCTTTGCTAGTCGTTTTCGTAATCGGCTTAACATGTATTCGAATCAAACGATGAACGTTCGTAATGCGTACAGCAAAAGAGCGGAATTAGTGGCCATAATTTATCACCAAGGCAAGAGTGAATAAAAGCTAGTGCATTTTACCATCATTGGTTACACCGCACTTATCATCAGGTGAGGTCAAGCACTGACTTATAATCTATACAAATAAATAAAATTGAAGTGTCTGTTTGTAATGTCATAATAACAGCTTTTTACTAACCGCATATGAAAGTGTGTATATACGGTACTTAAAACAAAATAAAAAACGCACAGCGCGGTGTGCGCCAGCAGCGTGGCGCCCCAGTGCAGCTCGCACTTGCATTTGCACTCGCGCACACTCACCGAGCAGGTCCGGCTGTGAGAGCGTGGCCTCGGCGTCGAGGCTGGCGGCGAGCAGCAGCGCGGGCAGCAGCAGCGTCAGCACGCACAGCGCGGTGTGCGCCAGCAGCGTGGCGGCCCAGTGCAGCGAGCCGTCGCAGCCCGCCAGCAAGTGCAGCCGCCGCGCGCCCGACCGTCGCTCTTTGCACGGCAGCGACACCAAATTGATGTTCGTCGCCAGGACCACTGCAAGCGATTGCACAATGTCAACATCCATCCGTTACAGCCTATAAAAGTCCACTGTTGAACATAGGACTGGGGGGAAAAACCCTCCCCGTAGATTGCCTCGTAGAAGGGGATTGTGGCACAGTTGCTACGATTAGCAGGCGGGTTGGGAACCGCAGCTTTGTCACAGTTTTGAGTTATTATTAGGGAGACGCCGCTGCCCATCTTCATATAATACACAATAGAATGGCCAACCTTATTTTGTTGAGAACTCACATACAAGTGGCTTTCTTCGTATTAATTACAATATATAGGTGCGATTTTGTTAAATAACTTGTTGGCATCTCGTAGGTTGTGACATAATTCCGTTGCTGTAGAAATCTTGAGATTTTTGTGACAAGTAGTTTTGACAGTCCTCTTTTGATGTTAATTACCCAAAGAATTCTGAAGAGACCGAAACAGGTGAAATTCTGAGGGTTCAACGTCAGGATTATGTGGTGAATGTATTAACACTTCCCAACCAAGATCTCTCAATTTTTGCTATGTGGCCAAAGATGTGTGTGGTTTGGAGTTATCATGGTGAAAGACCCCACTCCTTTTCTGTTGATCAATTCCGGCCGTTTTTCTCAATTTCTTGCTTGAGTCTAATTAATTGTTTGCAGTAGAGATCTAAATCGTAGGTTTTGCCCGGCGGTAAAAGCACACAGCATCATCTTATTGCGTGTTAATCCGGGTTTCGCTACAGTCTGTAGAGAATGAATACACTTTGACCATGACCTTTTCCGCACGTTCTTGTCGTAGATGATCCATTTTTCATCATCAGTTATCAATCTTGAAAAAATGGTTTAGTTTTATTACGTTTCAATACATAGTCGCAAATGAGTACCTACACGATTCATAAACTTTCTTTCAGCAAGTTCGTGTGGTACCTATAGATCGAGCTTTTTTGTATAGCCAGACTTATTCAAATGGGTAAAAACTGTTTAGTTTTCAAACATCAATTCTTCGGCTATGTCGTAACTAATATGCCGATCTTACTCCACTTTTTCAAAAATGGCATCGATTTTATCCGTATAGAGGGAGATAAAGCCGAAAAGAAAAAAGAGGAAGAACGCACAGCGACCACAGTGTACCAAAGAGCACAGGGATAAAAAAAACATCTTGAAGCGCGCTTCCATCAAAACATACTTCAAGCCGCTGAAGAAGATTGGTCAGTTTTTACCATCAGTCAAGTGTAATGTCCCTCTGCAAGATGCAGGAGTGTACAAGCTTGATTGTGAATGTGGTCTCTCCTACATAGGACAAACTAAAAGATCAATAAAAACCCGCGTTAAAGAACATATAGCTGATGTGAAGAAACGACGCTCCGGGAAGCCTGCAGTCTGTGAACACGTACAGGATCGCCCCCGTCACTACATCAGATTTGATAGACCGCAAATCCTCGCTAAAGAACACCAATTCCTTCCAAGGATGATTCGCGAGGCTATTGAAATCAAAAAACATCCTAATTTCAATAGAGAAGATGGCTCGGTGCTACCATCTGCTTGGGATCCTATAATAAATAAAATTAAATCCCAACCCAAGCATACAACTTCAAGACTTCAAGATACCATAAGTTCATACTGCATAGATCGGAACAAAAGTTAAATTTTAATCTATGGTAACCGCGGTTAACTATGACATATGGACGTTGAACATCTCAGTCCCGCCCGTGACCATGAGTGCTGTAAAGCGTTCGAAACGTCGGGTATTAAAAAGTTAAATATACGCGATAAATTCCGTAAAAACTAGTATTATTTCAATGTGTAGTGTTCGCGTAAATATAAGAAATCATCATTAATTTCAGTTCTTTTGGTATTAAATACGCATTAAAATGACTTCTTGTGCAGCTAAACAGTGTTCTAAATTTGTTATACTAACATTACGATCATTAAAATTTACAAAACCTTTTTTTTTCCAATATTACGAACAATTTTATATTTAAATTTAAACAAATTAAAATTTCTTAGGAACTTACCTATCTCTCTTTTATTTAATACATGATGTCTGATGTTAAGTTATACGATTTAATTTAACAATGGAATTGTTTTGTTGTTTTGTGTATTAATATTAGTACCTCTTTATTATTTTTCATGATTTTAACTTTTGGCGACAATTCTTCTATACTTTATAAGGGCCTTCTTAAACACAATTGAACTTATTATCTATTTGATTCTTAATTAATACTAAATAGCTAGAACTATAATTAAATGAAGTACATCTCTTATCGTACTTAAAAACATGGAATTTTCGATTAAAAAAACATTATTAAAATTTAAATCAAGGTGAATAATACAATAACAGCAATAAGTTTTTCGGTAACATATTTAATAACTGTTTATCATAGTAGAACTCGTTATCGCAGCGCAGGTTCTCAATAAGCTAAGCTCTATTTCAATAAGCTAAGGCTCGCACCGCTATCTACTAGGAGAAATAAGATATATATATATACAAAACATACATAGTATATATAATAATTATATATACTATGTATGTCTTGTATATATTGAAATGAATGTTAAAAACTTTCGCCACATATTTCAGAATTCTCTACCTTTAAAAAAATAAAATTAAACATGAAATATTTCCTAGGCGATTATGGGATTAAAGCCGAAGTAAAATTTTCTTAAGTCCCGGGAGAAATTTCCTTATTTTCACCAAATAATTCTTAATATTTTTAAACTAGCATACAATTCTTTTAAATCAAATAAAGGCATGTAAGTTAAATGTAAGTTTTGTGTCACTAAATTCTATTAAATCTACATGATGTAGAAAAAGGTACGAGCAACACTTAATTTAAAAAAAATTGTAATGGACTTGTGTAATAAGTACACGCATTCAATTAATTTCGGTGCACATAATAGGTCGTAGTAAACACACGAACTTTATGGACACTTTACTTATAACATAGTAGAAAGACGCTGCAAAGATGATAAGGATTACAAAGAACTGGACTGATAAGGACTACAAGAATGATTATACTTAATTTCAACTTAATTTGTTTAAAATATTATTGTCGTATATGGATATTAATGCCAGTAAAATGAACGAACTTTTAAATGATAATTTTGAATTTTAATAATTGTTAGTATTACTTTTACATTGATCTAAAAGAATTGCTAGAGTTATAATATTTGTATATTATATAACAAAATACAAGATCACTATGAGAGCTATTTATTTAAAACAAAGCTACTTATTTAAGATAAAACAAAGTTATCGCTACTCTCTACGAAAAAAGAAACTCGCTACTCGCTCGGTTCGTTTTGAGCGCACTTCTTCTCTACTGCGGGCTCTGCTCTGACTGTGTTTGAAGAACACGTCTCGAATATGAATTAGAGGATGAGTGATTTGTATGCCGACCTTTCTGGGGTCCACGCTGGAATCTACCGCGAAAACTATATCGGACCAGTTCCGTACGAGGCGTATTATTATGATTACGAGTAGTCGAGTTGCTAGGGTGACCATGATGGTTGTAATTCTGATTATAGTTATTTTTGTATAAATTATCACGACCGCGCATATTACAGAATCGGTTACAACGCCGTTGCCTAAAATTAATTTATGAAAAGTTGCTTAATTTCGGAAACGAATTTTTCAATGGTCCTACGACCCTGTTTGTTACTAAAAATACTACACTACACTTTGGTAATACAAACACGTAATCCCAACGATAGGACGTATTACTTTTTCTCACCGACACCGCGTGATCGTATTGAGACACCGATAGGGCTATACTACACTATACTACAACTAGCTACCTATAGCACTATCGAGCATTTTAAACGATTGAGACTTTTATCAGCGATATTTTTGGTAGTAAGTAATTTTAAAATATGTTTATGGTAATGGAAATATTTAAATATTAAATGATGTAATGGTGCAAATTTACATTTTATACATATTTCTTTTAGTTCCAATCAATCAAAATGATTCGTGCAACTAAAGGTAATTAGCCTCGCGCTCGCCCTGACATGCACACAGAGATAACATTGTAGTGTACGTCAATATTACGCCGTTTCAAAGCGATCGCGTAGATTTCGACTTGGACATATTTGAATATGCGCTCTTAAAACAACCCGTATAAACATTACTAAAAACGACATTTATGAAATATAAAAAGGTAAAAAATGATACTACCACGACAGAAGTAAAAGAAATATTTTTTGGAAAAAAAAATTAATAAGTTATATATTTAATGAAGTAGAGCAACCTTCACCTGTGATCTCGAACGTATATATGCAAGGGGAGAGCACCACCCCTAATGGCTGGGAAAGTAAAATAGCAAAGCTAGACGGAAGAAGCCTTAACACAACAATTATAATTAACTAAATATAAGAAATACATTTTGACAGCTGTCAGACTTATTGCACCAAGCGTGTCAACCAAAAAACGGAAACGTACAATATTCGATTAAAAAAAAAATCGATATCGATTATTTAGAGTTTATAATCATTTACAGTTTTGTTTGAATAATACGAGAATAAATTAAAAACGGATAATTCAAAACACAAGATTTATCAGTTTCTTCGTATTTGTTGTTACTGTTTATTTCAAGCGGCAAAGTTAGAAAAATTTAAGATTGAAACTAGATTAAAAATATATTTATTCAATCACTTTCAGTACAATTAGTTGAGTTGTCGTTGCTTAGATTGATTATTATTTGATTTTCAATAATGCAGTCAAAATTAATGTCTCTTTCAAAGTCATCCATAATGAATTTTTTTGATTTGTCTGCCTCTTTTGCCCAATCATTATTTGTGAAATGGGCACATGCTTCAACGAATATAGAAGAAACAGTCCAAAAAGTTAAAGCCGAGTTACAAACTATGAAGACAAACATAAAATCACAAAATTACACACAGTAAGCTCCCGAAATGGCTGGAGGTTGAAATTACGTAATGGTTTTTTCAGCGCGGCCTTGTATATGAGTTTTTCGCCTACATAAATTTACGTTGACAAAGTGAAAAAATAAACTTGTT